TCCACCAATTGGAGGTGTGGAGTTTAAACGGCAACTGTTTACCTTTCTGCAAGCTTTCTCTCAATCAGATGATCAATCCCACTTGTTGATTCCTTATTGGTACCAGGGTCGTGGTAGACACTAACGCTTGCCTGGACATTGTCCTGAAGGACTGAGAAGGTGCAAAAGACACTCTGATCATGCTCGTCCCTCTTTAGAGACAGCAAGGTCTCACTGCAGGTCAAGCTTGCGGCATACAAGAATTGTATGCAAACAATTAAGCAGCTGGTGCTGAGTAAGCCTGGCACATGAGATTGGACTTGGACCCCGAATACCAAGGTGGCTGGCACATCACAAGCTGCCTGTCCTGTAAAGGTCCTCCCAGCTTGCTGAAGGCAGATGTCTGCCAGATACCTGTTGCGACAGCTGCTAGGAGTCCAAGTTCATGTACACGCATTCGTACATCCACGCCTGAAATATTGACATTGGAATAATCTGAGTTCTTTCGCATTTTATGAGTGTTAGCTAGAACAGTAATATTTCAGATTTGAACCTTCATTGAAATAGTTTTCCATGAAACAGAGAGAACTATAACTTTTATTCTTCACGTATATAACTTCCCAGTAAAAGAAACCCACATGGTCGCAAAGCGTAAATTTGAAAGAAAAAGTAGATTTGTTTTCAATCCTGGTTTGACCTATTCCTGCATGCAGCAGGTTAAATAATTATTTCAGTTTGATTGCTTACATATTGTGATTTAAAACTTTTAGCTTTGCTTACAATTTTGTTCAGGAACTATAGGTAAAATATGGAATTGTTTTAAGCAATTTAATTCTAAGATACAGTGTAACCTTGATCTGTCTTTAATAATTCATTTTGACTTTTCATGAGAATTTACACTGTATTTTCCACTTTTAATTTGAAATGGTGCAAAAATTACTTTCTTTTGCATGTTACATTACACCAAGCATTTCACACATCATTAATTTTGCTTTTCAATGAAGGGCCTGTGGATAATCAAGGTTTCATTGTATTTATTTATTGACCTAAATCGTCTTTCTTGCACACTTGCATCTTGTGACTGTGCATGTGTTATTACTGCCAATATGTCTGTTGCCTTCAGGTTCAAATTTAAATAATGCAAAGCAGGTTCAAATCTGAAATATTATTTCCTTTTAAGAAGGCAGATAGTCATATATGGATGTTTAATGCCCAAATAAGTTCAGCTTATTTGAATACAACCGTTTGAAGTTTGTACACTGTACCTTTGCCGTGCAAACTTTTGTCGTATTAAAATCTAAAGTTAAATAATTAATCTACACAAAGTTACATTTAATGGCAAAGACAAGTAAATGTCACTTTCAGGAAGTATACATTGAGATATTTAAAATATGATTTTTGGTTACAAAATTGCTGTTTAAATGAATGTTTGTCGGTATAAAAGTCTTGCATCAATCAGTGCTTCCAAAGAAAAGCTTACTTACAGTGACTAGAGCTTTATAGCAAGCTTCTTGGCAGCATGGAGCTCTATGAAAGTTCAAAATTGAAGCAGCAAATGTTGCATTTCCTAAAAGGAAATACTACTTTGGAAAATATGTAAGACCCAGTCTTTTATCTGTCTCCATCCACCTCACCTCTCGTGTTACAAATGGGCTGTATTTGTCTGTAGAAGTACATTAACTACTAGTTGAATATCTGTTTAGTGATGGATTCTGCATTCACTTACTAATTTTACAAAGCATTGTAATTTGCTGGTATGAATTACTTGATTGTTATGAAAAGCTAATTACAGATCAAATTAATAAACAAATTATGTCTAATGATTCAGAATTTATTTTTACTATCAAACATTCAAAAGTTGTAATAAAACGTTTACATCTAAAGTTAGTGAATGCAGTTTTGGAGGGTGAAAAAGGAGAATGCAGTTCTTTCAGCTTTAAAACTTCTAAAGACGTGAGGGTAAAAGAATCAATGAACAAACTAACAGGCAATACTAAGTGAAATTCTATCAAAACACAAACTCCTTTAAATGTTTTTACTCTTTAGAAAAAGGACCCATGTACAAAGTAATGTACATAGAAAAGGTGCATGTGGTAAAGAATGTGCTATGCAACCATAGCTGTTCTACTGTTTACAATAAAACAGTATTCCGAAAGGGCAGTACCGTGATTTATGCTATTCCAGTAAGTTCCAGTTCCACCTCAGTTCAGTTTCCTGTTACAGTTTCTGTTTAAACATCAATAAGACTCCAGTTAGTTTATGAACTGTTCCTCCTGCTGCACTTAATATAGCCCTACATTTAGTTGCAAAAGAGATGAGATGCAGTAGCAGTGCCCTCATCTGGTAAGCACGGTAACTACTGTATAGTAAACCTCACATTAGTCGTATCATGTGCAAAGTATGAGTTACGTCAAACCTGCATAGAATATAACTCTTGAATGGGACTTGGGCGATTATACAATTTATACAGATCAGACTTGTACATGTTTACTATATAACAGTATAATAATATAGGCATGGAAATGTACTAAATTGCTTGGATTCAAATCCAAAGGAAGAATGGAGCAAGGAGATGTTTATGTATGTACACTTATTTTTCCAGGTTGGGGAAATAAATTCTTAATTTAAATGTAATTTCCAGATTTGAAACAATGTAATGGAATTATTTGGGGGGAGAAAGATGTCTGTGTGTTGTAGTGAGTTCTTAATATTAAAAGTTTATTTTAATACAACTTGTTTAGCAAATTCACTGCAAATTAATTGGGAGCAAAATTAAAATATTTCTGATACACCGCTTTTTTTTAAAATAACACTTTCATATTTTGAAAACCAATACCTCTTCTACATGTGAACTCTATTTTTAGCCCTTTTTGACTAGTTTCTGGACACAATTTTCTTCACATACTGCATCCAGGTGAGCCTAGACTATGTATCAGCAGGCTGTTTGACTGTGGGAGAGGGCATTATAGCTGACCCCAATTTTTGTCATGACAAGATGTCGATGGAATCCATGTAAGTGCCCAATCCAGCAGAGTATTGTTCAATAGTGATCCAAAGGTAGACCCTGGTTGATTGACATTGTTAACTCCTCTTTGTGCAATCAAGATTACTACATTTGATTGCAATGGAGTGCCCTCTTGTGTTGATGTACACATGTACATTAATTTTAAAGAAAGCTATTTGTTAGATGTTATATACCAATATATATTCTGCAGCTAGACCTTCAGATCGTACCTGCAAATGCATAAACTGTGCTTGTTGCATTTTACTAAAGTGCTCAACTTCCAGCAACAAATTTACATTCATAGAGTGCCTTTCATGTTGGAAGGACATGCAAAGCAGGAGAGCCTCTGTCTTGTCAACATTCAACTTAATACGATCGTGCTGACCAAACCTTGCATTTCTTTTCAACAGAAATAATTTAGGGGTGTTGGTGATATGTATTTACCATCACTTTGTGCTGTGTTTTTTTTTTAACCTTCGCAGTTTATAAATGACAGTTTATAAATATACAGTTTATTATTATTATTCATAAATGCCATACTTTTTGGAGGGAAAAATAGTTCAACTTCAAACTGCTTCTCGGGGGCCTATTGAGACCTATCATCTTGCTTTAAGCATGCAGAAATTTTGTATGAGCCAGTTAGCACATTTAGCTCACTCAGCTATGTGCGACCAGACCATGAATATCCAAATCATTATTTGTAATCCTAAAAATGTATAATTTTACCGCTAATTAAGTTTCCTAATTCATAAAGGTGATAATTTGGTAATATTTAGATTCAAATTATAAGGTGAGTTACAGTAAACTCCTGAAATATTGTTCACTCCAAAGGAAAAGGGCTCAGTGACTCTGGATCCAAGGTAACGATATAGGCATGAATCCTCAAGGAGCACGAGGAGGTGCTGTGGTCTGGAGGACCTAGAGCAACACACGTTGTGCCCGCATTGTGTGTCTATAAATGTGCTTATTTTTTTGTTTCCTATCACTTATTTCTGTTTTTGAATTGGAAATTATTCACTTCTCAGGAGATGTACTATAGTGTATTAAAGAACAAAGACATTTTCCAGATTAAATGTGAACACCAAACATTTTTATGTAATAAACAATTTGCAAACAACAAAATACACCATATTTTATTTTCAACATTACAAAAGATGGCAAACAGTCATCCCTACAAATGTACTTTCCCTCCCTAACTTGCAAGGTTCTGTAATTCACACAAGAGCACAGGTTCACCGGGTGAGTTTAGTCACTTTGCCACTCGGTCATTCTAGCATTATAATTAGAGTAATACAACTTAAAGCCACTAAGCAACTGCAAATCAGAAATTAATAAAGTAGCTCACAAAATGCTGTCATGATTTCAATCTACTTGGGGAAAATAGTCTGTGATAGTCAGAGTCAGATAGTCGACGTTTTAAAATCGCAAGAGTTCCCTGAGGGGCCCTGGCTTGGGGTACGCCTGGCTGAGCAGTGTCGGTTAGTTCTATCTGATGATGTATCCAATATTTTACTTACTGGGATGTATGGAATGTAACTTTAAAAGCAAGTGATGAAATAAAGGGAGGAGTCCCTTATTCACATTTTGCATGGGAAGCAGCTGGGATGTTGACAGCATGATGATAAAAGCCAGGGTCTTATTATCAGAAGTTCACTGTATATAAAGTTGAATTTTTGGAGGAGTAACCAGCTCAGCGAATCAGAATGGACTTTGAAGGTCTTCATCTGATCTGGTGATAAATCGCTCAAAGTCCCTTATCTATTGGAAGTAAAATTTAAACATTGTGCCAAAAAGTTTTTCTCGTGATATACGTGGTAACAAGAATAAAGTGCTTCGTGAATTCAGTCCGTACGTTGTTGCGAGTTTGATAGAGGAGATGCGTTTGCAATATTGACACAGAGCTGTAAGTCAATAATGCACATTTATTTAAGGTTTAAAATTTAAAAGCTCATGTTGCAGGTTTATTATGTTTAGTTCTTTGAAACATTAACTAAAACCTAATGTTTTACTTCTCCAGGCTCGATCCTCCTAGATTTGACAGAGCAGTTCACATCGCCTGAAGTTGCCCCAGCTATCTTGGTGAAGTTAGTGGCGGCTATTGAAAAAACAGGTAGGACTGATCAACTGAATTCATAACTTCCAGTGCCTTGGGATGTCCCTTTGTGCCCTGATGTGAAAGCCGCTATACAAATGTAGTTTTGTACGTTTGTATAAAGCTGTTGTCTCTTCAAAGGATGAGCAAAATTGCTTTGTTTTACAAGGGTGTGTAATTTTGTTTAGGCTACATTGATTTATGTGGAACCAGACTAAAAACAGTTAACTGATATTAATACTTATTGAGCTTGTGCTTAGGGGATTTCCAATTGATTATATAGTAGGTATCCTCAGAGTAGGATTGAAAGTAAGTTTAATGGATACTCCCAGTAACTGTGGTTAACTATTGGTTGCATTAAAAATAAAACTACTGTAGTTTTAAATTTGCTCTCTCCAATCCTGTTGGAGATCCGAGTCAGACATCAACAACCCAAAAATGTAATGTTTTCAAGGATGTTTGTAATCAGCTCTCCAAGACACTATCCTGGGTAAATGCAAGTTGCTTTTGTAAGAGTAATTCTCTTAGAGTAATTCTCTGTGATACATGGGGCTAACTTTTGAATATCAAAGTTGTCTAAACTCAGCAATTCCATTGTTTAACAATATAGAAATATTTTTAACAACTACTGAATTGCCTTCATTGTTGGTTTTATGACTGGGATAGCATGAATTTGAGGAGATGTAAAGCCATAGAAAATTGCAACACGGAAGGAGACCATCATGTCTGTGCTGTGACATTTGAAGCAGTGCAGAAAAAAAAATTACACTTTCCTATTAGTGTTGCAAAACATGATGTTTTCAATGACGACTTTAACCTCTTTCCCCCCTCTGTATGTGACGAAGTGTATTATTGTGAACTAATTGGCTTGGTACTAGCATTTTGATTTATATTTCATAGGTCTAGAGTGTGCCAATTTATACCGGACTACTGGATCAAGTGGCGGTGCTGAATTGAGACAGTTGTTTGATTATGGTAAGCATACTTGAATGTGTTCCTACGTGAAAATATTATGCTCCGTACACAAAAAGCATTCTAAAAATGTGCTGGTGTCCTTGCTACTTGCTGTGTAAGTGCCACTTCTCCTTTGCTGTGTACGTCCTCCATTTAACTGATTATATTTCTTTCTCTCAATAGGTTTTTGCAATAGGGGGAGGGAAGGGAATGTTATCAACTATATTCAAAATTGCACAGCAGCTTTTTATCTGAGGTTTTAAATTCACACCACTTCAGCATTTCATTTTTGAAATGGTTTTCTGTGGTACTGTTTCATCTGCACGGTTATCGGATTGCCACCAGGTGGCTGCCTAAAGGTGTGCAGTGTTGAATTAACTTAACTGTCTGCACATACCATTATAAATGTAAATAGTGGTTTGGCAAGAGGCCAAAAGGCATCTGATTTGGCTAGAACAATGTCCCATTAATAATCAGTATCAGAATTTCTTGTGCTCATTCCCTTCTTAATTATCTTTATGTGCTTAATACTTTGGAAGTGAAACTTACTGCTCTGAATTTCACTAGTTAGGGAAGGTGATACTTATTGACCTATAATGTAATTGAGCACTACGAAGTGCCCCTCATTTTATTCATTCTGGTGTAACCAACTTTCAAAATGGTTCAAAACCATCTTTACTTAACATTTGTTTTACTTGCAATACAAATGGTCCAAACTTTTTATTCACATCCAAATGTAGGTAAATCTGATGGATTGCATTATATATCATATTAAAATAATGATGAACCAAGGCAGTCTTGAATTAGCAATTGAAATTGTACATGCCCATATTTCTGAGACTTGGCAAACTGTCTGAATAATAACCAAAAGAAAATTCATCAAAGAAAACCTGTACAAACTAAGGGATTTTTTTTAAAAAAGGAAAGCACAAATCTTGGAAATCTGATATAAAACCAGTAATTCTCGAATTGTTTCAGAGGTTGATGAGCACCTGTTTTGTGCAAGGACGCTATTAGAACGGCAGGTTCCAGCAGCTCATGCACTTTGATATGTTGATGTCAGGAGTCTGATTGTACTAGCAGCAGTTGCCTAGTGAAAAATGTTGGTCTGAATTTGGAAAGTGTTATCCAGCTCCAATAGACTAAAATCCACCTTCCATTCTCAAATGGGAAAAATTGAGACGACTGATAATCTGGCTTTATTAACGCATGCACATGTGTGTACGCGTTTTAATATCAGAAGCCAAAAAAATGTTGGTTGCAACAAATCTATTGTGCACACAACATTGTGAATACTTTTGAGTGAAGTGCAATGGAATCCTGTTTGTACCCTAGCTTGAGAGAACTAAAAACATTGCATGTAATTATAGTGTATTTGTAACGTATTGGTTACAATACGTTACAAATACACCTATAAGATTCTTAAGGGTCTTGACAGGGTAGATGCATTGAGACTGTTTCCCCTGGTTGGAAAATCTAAAACTAGGGTGTCACAGTCTCAAGATTATGGGTCAGCCTTTTCGAACTGAGTTGACAAAACATTTCTTCACTCCGAGGGTAGTGAATTTGTGGAATTCTCTACCCCAGAAGGCTGTGGATGTTCAGTCCTTAAACATATTCAAGACTGAGGTTGATAGATTTCTAAAGGAGAGAGGAATTAAGGGATATGGGGATAGGGCAGGTAAATGGAATTAGGTAAGAAGATCAACCATGATCTTTTTAAATAGCGGGGCAGGCTCGAGAGGCCGAATGGCCTACTCCTGCTCCTTCATCTTATGGTCTAATCAGTGGGATGTAATTTGCATTTTTTTTAACAATGGCATTCCTTAATAAGGAATCCTATTAGAATTCCCATTGGCCTGCAGGAAATGTGCTCCAGAAGTAGGTTATGATAGAATGGAATTTCCACAGGACAAGAAACATACATCGGGTTGCTGCACTATAATCTTCATGACAGCAGCAAATTCAATCAACCCCAATCCTGACTTCACCTAACATCCACTTGTGTCCAATTAGCAATTATCACTATTTAGGAGTACCAATCTTGTAAGGGAGGCCACTAAAGAAATGGTAGCGTTCTACCTGACTGGCTGTAGTCATATAACTGCACAAACAAGAGATTCAACCTCAAATTGTTCCTGTCTGTTTAGTGCTTCACACCCACATCATTTATATTGATCAAGTCATCAAGTGAGCTCTGGTGGATTCTATTTATGGATTTCAGTTGTGCTGAAAGTCAGACAAGTTGTCTATAGATGCATCCCATAACAATACTAATGTTTTTTGTAAACATTGCTGTATGTTTATAACCGTGTAACTTTCCTATATATACCAGAGTTCAAAGCAGGAAGATGTCATATGACATACAGCTTGTTGAAAATATTTTTTGTATTATATGTATTGTTTTTAGATGCTGCTTCAGTGGACATTGAGCAGTTTGATCTACAGTCATTGACTGATGGATTAAAGCGGTACCTTCAAGACCTGCCAAATCCTGTAATTCCAGTGTCTGTTTACAGTGATATGGTTTATACAGCTCAAGGTAAGAAGGTGGGGGATTGATATTATTTGTGTTTGGAGTGGTAGTTTCCTTGATACTGAGACCAATTCTCCAAACAAAACCATCAAAACCTACAAAACCACTTTAGTTAGAAAATGTTTGAAATTAGGAAGAACATTATTGCAGACTTTTGACATTAGAATGGTGCTGTGTGCGGTACTCACTTCAGTTGTGAATGAAACAAAGGAGTGACATCAGAAGTTTTGTCTATCCAAACTCGGATTGTGACTCTAGAGAATGCATTTTGAGCTATGCACTAGAAGAGTAAGCATAGCAATGGTAAAAATTCAAAGTGATTATCCAAGAAGCATATATTTCCGTAAGTGCGATTCATCTAACCTATTGATGTCACTAGATTTATTTAGCATATTGGTAATGTTATTCCTTCTGAATTACCTCCTTTAAGTAATCATTAAGAGTTGTGAGTATATGTAAAAGTGTTATAATTTTCCTGTGTGATGTAGCAGTAAAAGGTTATGACGCAATTTTGATATGGCGCTCAAGTACTGAAGGACATATTCTTGCGGTTATAAATTCTTAGTGCTTTGTTCCAGTGTATGCTAGGCAAAAGTTTGAAAACATTTTTTTTACTCTGCAAAGAATTTTGGCAGCGAGCCTATCAAACGATTGCACTGCAGATATTTGTGGTTCATCTCACAATTCCGTTTTTACTAGCACAAGGCAGCTTAGTTTTATCTGCCGCATCTACAAATTACCCAATCAACTGCAGTATCAGTTGAACACAGACCTTATAGTATGATATTTTCAATATGTGTAGTCACGCAAGTGCTCTTTTCCACTCTCTATAGTACTTGAGTGGTTTTCTTTTCTTTCTACCACTGCTACATACTAAGTGCAGCCTGTCAATGATCTGAATATTTTAACTTTTTGTTGACTTAGTTTTTGATCAAATTTAGTAAATATTAATTAGTCTTCTGCCTTCACTGAATCCAGCATTGATAGTTTATTTCTTTGAACACAGAGGTACTGAACACTGAGGAGTGTGCACAGTTGCTGAGAAGAGCCATTAGGTCACACAACGTGCCTCACCAGTATTTGCAGACGCTTCAGTATTTGATCAAGCATTTCTGTAAGCTTTGTCAGAACTCCGGGAAAAACAATCTGAGTCCGAGAACATTGGCAGAAATTTTTAGTCCCTTGCTTTTTCGACAACAGGCAGCAAGGTATGTATATTTTACTCATGAGATGATTATTGTTTAACTAAATCCTTAATTTGCTTTATGATATAGTTCAAATGTACTTCCGTGATAATAATTTTAAAAGTAGATGTACCACTGTGGTATTAACAAGAAAACAAGTGTATATATTAAGGTACTATCATGGCTTCAATTGAGTTCCGCTAAAGATGGTTTGATTTGAATTCTTTCTTTGTGATTATTTAGCTCGGACACAAATCCTGAATACCATATAAAAATCATAGAGGTTCTGATAGCCAGCGAATGGCATGAAACACAAACGGCACCAGTACCCACAGCAGCACCAGGTAAGATCGGTTTAAGTTACATGCCTTGGATGGATGTTAGTTTCTGGCTTCTGAGCAATCCAGTTTTTTTTTCACTTTCTTTACAAGCATATTTAATCCATCAGTATAAAGTCCTGAGTGGACCTCCTGCACAATCCCCACTCCTCTGCCCACCAGTGTTTCATTCTCCTCCTTATTTTTCTGATACCAGGAGTTTGGTGAAATTAAATTGTACTTTTTTTTAAAAAAATTAAAAATCCGCACTTATACATGCTTGTTGAGTGTACAGAAATGTTGTTTCTGGTGCTTCATTTCTTTTTCTATTTTGGTATAAATACAGTGGAAAATGAGAGAGTGACGCCATTCTATGTTGAAAAATCTAGTTGCATGTGCAGGCATTTGTTTCTTGCCTCCTGATTGATCGAGATGCTTTGCAGGATATGCATTTTTGTAATCCAGGAGGCAAGAGTGTTTAACACTGAATCCAGATTATGGCTCTAGATCTTAATAGTAAACAAATAATAAATATTGAAACCAACAATAATAATAATAATAATAATCCTTGCATTTGATATAGCGCTTTTCACGTCGGGAGGACGTCCCAAAGCGCTTCACAGAACACACTGTAAAGTGAATTGACTGTATATTTGTGGGCGAACGCAGCAGCCAATTGCGCACAGCAATGTCCCACAAACAGTCGTAGGTTGAAAATGACCAATTTATTATTATTTTGTTTTTTTGGAGGGATTATTATTAGGCTCTGTGTGGAGTAAGGAAACTTGCCCAAGGTTTCGCGCTGCCTGGAATTGAACTCAGGTCTCTCGCTTGCAAAGCGAGTGCTCTATCCACTGAGCTACAGGACTCCACTAATTTGACATCATTAATTGGAGTGACTTCAGCATAGCTTACTTTGACAGGGGTATTATACCCTCCTTAAATCCATGCATAAAGCAAGGACAATGGTAGTGATATCAAGTTGCCATGCTGGTATCTCCGTTAGTGTAGAGATGCATTTACAGGGATCATGATTATCCAGCGTACTTCGGGGTAACTGTTGTAACTGAGTTGATCAGTTTATCTCTGTATAACAGTGGTATGAGGGGGTTATACTACATTACATATTCCTGGGTGGAGTACAGGCTTCATAATGTGTACAGTCTGTGTAGAAGTTTTTTTTAATTCAATACTTCAGGATTCAGTACAGGTCACTACAGATGACTTGTGTAAGCTTTTATGCTTCGTCATTACGAAATATAGTATGTGGACATATTTGGTGCTTTGACTTTTGACTTTTCGTAAACTTTAATATCATAATGCAAAGCAGAATTCACAGAATTAACTGACTAATCAACTAATTTATTTAGTCATGTCCCTGCAATAGTTGTTTTATGATGTTCATGTAATCAAACAACGGCTTCTGCTAACCCCAAATAACTCTGACCACTATCTCTAAACACCCTCAGTAGTTATAAGGAATTGAATGCATGTTGGATCCTGACATGTAATATAAATTTATATATTTTATGTCTGCCCTGTCAATATGTTGTGAATATGGTGGCTACTGACCTGTGAATATTCATGAAACATAGTTCACATGACCTTATAGCCTTTGATAATGGACTAAATTAAGAATCAAACTTTAGATTTCAAAGGCAAAGCGGTGTGTTGGGTTTGCACCACACTGTCATAGCAGTAAAGAACTAGGATTTGATCCCTTTGGCGATTAATTCTCAGACATTGACTGTTATGTTGCTGTAGGAATGTGTCAGAGAGTATTGGGTGCCTCACACCTTTGCATGTCTCCAGTGACTGACTTAGAATTGCACCTGAGAGCAGGGTGCCTGCCTCTTCAACTACAATTATTAGTGATTGAGAGACATTTTATAAAACATAAAATATCACTGAAAATCACACTTTAGCTGAAGTAGAGGATATTTCAAGGGTGTCTGTGAAATGTACATTTTTTACTTCTCAGTATAACTTCTACTTGCAAGATGACTTGTCACAAAGGGTTATCCGGCCTTCACTTGTGAAACATAATCTGTATCCCATGGCCCATTTTGATACTCTCGCCATACAAGTCACCCTCGGCGAAGAACAAATGTATTTTAAGTAGCAATAATTTTATAAGAATCGCCTAGTTAAACTGAAATACAGAACCTTATTTAAATGCTGTATGTGTGGAACTTTCCAGCACAGATGAGGACCATTCAGCCCATCATGTATGTGCTGGCCTTTTGAAAGAGAAATCCATTCACTTCCATTTGCTTCCCTTTTCCCCATTCCTCTGCAAATTACTCCTATTAAATATATCTAGTCTTGAAAGCTAATCTGGTTTCTGCCTCAATCACTGCTCCTACTGTTAATCTTAAATTAATACTCTCAAGTTACCGACTCAGCGACCATTGATTTCTCCCAAGATGATGGGTAAATACTGATTACTGTAAAATGAAATTGTGCATCTTGAAGTACTGATATTATTTAAGTTACTTAAACTTAAGTTTACTTTTTCTTTGAATTGTCTTCTTTCAAGTCTGAAGAGCTGTAGCTTGTCTAATTGTTGCTCATAGTCTGGGCCAATAGAAAAATGCGGTTGCAATTTTTCCGTGGAATCCGCTATAAACATCTCCTACAAACATCCTCTACGAACCTGTAAAGACAGTGTGATGACCCTGGGTCTCTTATCAGTTAACTTAACTGTCTCACACCACAGGCTGCCGTAACTCTCATACATTATATTGAGGCTTGACCATGCAAACTCCGTGCTTGTCGGCCTCCCCAATTCCTCCCTCCACAGACTGTAGATCATCCAGAACTCTGCAGCCTCTGTCCTCTCTCACAGCCACAACCCTATCATCCCCTTCCTTGCCTAACTCCACTGGCTTCCCATCACACAGAGGATAGAGTTCAAGATCCTGGTCCTTACCTTCAAAGCCCTCCATGGTCTTGCTACCCCCTACCTCTCCGACCTCCTAACCACCTGCCATGCTGTTTGCTCCCTCCACTCAGCGGGCTCCAGCCTGCTTCACTTACCCCGCCTTGCTTGCCCCACTATTGACAGGTGGGCTTTCTGCCACTCTGCCCCCGCCCTCTGGAACTCCATCCCACAGTCCCTCCGTCTTGCTCCCTCCCTCCGTCTTGCTCCCTCCCTTGCCAACTTCAAGACCACCTCAAGACCCTCCCTTCGACCGTGCTTTCGATCTCCCTGCTTCTCCCCCCTGCCCTCCCCCACCCCGACCCTCAGCTCGGATCCGTAACTCTGTCTGTCCAGTGCCTTGGGCCGTCCTCTCGATGTGAAAGGCGCTATACAAATGTAATTTTGTTGTTTTTATTGTTGTTATCACCTGATCAATATTTCTTTCGCTTTCTTCTCTCCCCCCATCCCCATTCTAAAATGCCTAGCATTTGGAAAAATCAGTAAGTAATGAAGTGGGAAGATGGTACTTTGGAATGTGTAAACTGAATCACTTTTGTAGATACAGCTTTATAGATAACTTAATAATAAAATAATAATCCTCGCATTTGATATAGTGCCTTTCACATCAAGAGGACATCTCAAAGTGCTTCACAGGATTTACTGTAAAGTGTATTGACTTTATTTGTTGGCAAATGTGGTTTTGGAAAACATAACATCAGGACACTTTGCATTTAAGCTAAACCACCTGCCTAAACTGGAAAATGAGTATCTGTTATAAGATGCCTCATTAGAGTGTGAGTTTGCTCCTGTGGACCTGCAGTTACCAGAAGTACAGTAGCTTTCCAACTTGCTAGGTCAGCTACCAGTGCTATTAGTGTTCACAAGAGCAGACGTAGCTGATCTGCCAGTTTACTGTGTGCTTCCCAGCCGGGCCACAGTAAACTGGTGGAGTCATGTCAGCTGTGACCTAAAACCCCAGAAACTGGACCATTTCCTTTGTTGCCATTTCTTTTGTGGACCCATTGTAGAGGATTGTTTTATTTTGTGGAACCATTGTAGAGCAGTGTCTAATTTTTGGGCCCAAAACACTGCAGTTTTGTATTTATCCTGAAGAGGGCTCCCAATATTAAGTGGAAAAAATAATAATTCTTGTATTCGATATAGTGCCTTATCCTATCTGCGAGACGTCTCAAAAGAGCTTCACAGTATATACTGTAAAGTGAATTGCTGGAAACATCAACTGTTTGCGAATAGTTTATGTTGGGTTTCAAGATTAACCTTTTTACCTTGTAGATGATTCTTTGCCTCACCCCTTTTTTCCACTTCCTTCCTCTCTACCCTACCTCCCTCTCCCCCTCCCCACACACACACACATGTTTTTAATTAATTTTCACATTATTACACCTCTATAAAGTGTCTTTTGCTATAAGTCACTAATGTCAATGTGGTTTTGTTCAGCTGATTGTAAAATACGATGGCCAAACATATATGTAGCAGTAGCAAAAACAGCGAGCTGGGAAAACTCAGCAGGTCAGGCAGCATCTATGGAGAAAAGAAAGTGAGTCAACGTTTCAGGTCCACGACCCTGTAGCAGTAGGCTCATTTATAGTAATACTTTTAAAAATCAGACAAATTGCCCACTATGATTTCAACCCAGTAACCACTAAAGGAAAGTATGCATGTGTGGACTTTGGATGAAAACAGCATCAAGCTTGTTGTGATGCCTTTTTTTCGTTGTTGTTTCTCTCCCCCCAGCATCAGGTGTATGTCTAGGCAAATGAAGGATAGCCACTTGTTTAGGGTATCTAAGGGCTGGCGGGAGTCGTAGAACCACATCATGGAATGAGTCACCCCACCACAGTCTGAATCACCACCTTCAGGAAAGGAAGATAAGGGGAGAAAAAGGAGGAAGTTTATTTTTGACCTGTATGGAAATACTGCTGCAGTCCTCAGCCTTGGGAAAGCTACTCAGCTGTGGTGGTGTGTGAAACCGAGAGAAGGATCATACTCTTTCAGTTCAGTACTTTCTACAGTATATTTGCAGTCATTGAGGGTTTTAATAGAGAAATATGTTAATTGTTGCAGTTTTGGTATAATGCCTTAT